CATTTAATTAAAGCAAACATGGTTGAAAATTTTGACTTTAGGTTAAAAAAACAAAATGGTTATAGGTTAACATGCCTGAGCCACCAAAATATTAGGGTAAAAACCCTTTAAAATAAATAAGGTTACCAAAGATTGTACATATTGTTGTTAATAATAATTGATGTTTAATATTTAATTTTATTTTACTTCAGCTAACATACACCCATGCCTTACGTGAGTACCAACGTCCGGAGAGTAGACCTCTTCAAACGGACTTCAGCTGGTAACTGATTGACAAGATACCTATGAACGGTGTCGAAAACAAAATATCAATGCACCATGAAACAGTGTTAGTTATACATAGTATTACTACAGCCAAAAGATTCAAAAACTTTGATGATGTTAAAAATGATAACAGCAATCCGGGTGTTGGGATTTAAAAAGTTCTTTTTAATTATTGAATTTTGGATACAAAAGATGTAAAATTACCGATGGAGTTAAAGGTCATGTTTAAGAGAATGACGTATGCATTAGGCAGCCTATGTTACTCTTTGTCGTATGGAGTGTGGTCTAAAAAGCGTAATTTGTGACTGATTAGCTTAGATATATGGTATTGTCCTTTATGTTGATCACATCTAGGACAAGGTAAAATTGAATTGTATATATTTGTAGCTAATATAAGACCTGTTTTTAAATGAAATTGTTATGTAAAGTTGTTACTCCTATGGTAAAAGGTTAATATAAGTGGGTCTCATAAATTGAATAAGGGTTAAAAATCTTCCGGCTGAAGAAATTAAAGTTATAACCAATGGAATTAAATTTAAAATGATAAGGCTGAGCTCCTCAGAGACTTGAAAAGAATAAAAGTAGAGGAAATGACTAAAGAGAAGGGGGGGGGGAGTTAAAGGAAATTAAATGAGTTATTCAACAAATTAGAGATAATAGAGGACCTTCATGCTGAAAGCATCTAGCACCCTGAACAAAATCTATTTTGGTTGTATTTAATTCGGTTTATAAAAACCTGAAATTTGATGGTTGAGTGTGCTGTACTAAGTTGTTGACTAAGAGATGAAAGCAAATAGTAAGGATTTTGGGAAACGGGAAATAGTGAATTCTGATAAATTGTTGGATTATGTTTAAATGATTACTGAGTTTAAAACTAATGAGTAGATGGTTGATATATGAAATGACAGAGAAATAATAAAAGAAAGAAGAATGGACAGGAATATGATGTAGACGTGAAGAGTAGAGAAAATGATGAAATAGTGAGGTATGATGGACGAGGATGGTTATGAAGTTAACAATAGGGCCGGAAAAAAATTGGGAGGGGGGGTGTGACAATAGTGTAAAGAGAGTGGTGGTTTAAAGAAACACAATTATTGAATAGGATTAAAGGTGTTGACGTTTATAGAGGAAGGTCAGGCAAAGAAGGTGGGGCAAATTGGGAAGTGTGGGCTATGAGAAGAGTTGTCGGTGTAAGGGTTGAAAGTCACGGTTGAAAGATACATGGCGATTAACGCAGTTGGGGCTTCTTTGCTTTTCTTTGACTATTTCCAAGTCTTCATGAAGACTTGGAATTTGGAGTCGGATGTTCCTCGCAATAAATATTTCCTTGATAACTATTATTCATTGGGGTGTATATACAGTTTTGCTCCTAAATTCTAAAATTAAATTTTTTGTGGACTGTATGACTTTTATTTTATAAAAACTTTTATAAAATTGTCTACAATTGGAGACACCACGTTTTAGGGACCAGTTATAGCCACTACAAGAGAATAATATAATATTTGTACTTCAAATAAAAAAATAAAATTGACTGGATGATCAATAATGTTTTACAAGACTATATTTACACAATAGCAGATCTAATTAAATTTTATTACCAAAAAATAAAATCTGGCCGGACAAATGGAAAATATTGGGGAATACATCAAATAATCATTATTACAAGATTCATCCTACGTTACCATTCATAACAGAACTACCACACATATTGCACTATAACATATCCAAACGATCAGCAGCTACAATCACAAGATGAAAAACTAGTCACGGTGCTGTTCCTGCTCACCTGACTAGATTAAACAATATAGAATCAGGAACGTGCTCATGCGATAATATTTCCCAGTGTGATATTAACACATGCTGTTTGAATGTTTTAAAAATAAAAAGCACTTCCGGCTATATTTGATGGAAGCCTGGTTAAAAGTAATGTGCAACTTCTAGTAAACATAACTAGTGTCACTGAATCAGAAATCAATATATCAACTCGTATGTAATCACTTATATGCATCTGGATGTAATATAAATTTGTTACAATCAAGTTTCAATTCATAAATATAATATAAATTATTAAAAAATCTGTGACAAATGGACTAGTTTCCATGGCAAACACACTATCATCTCCATCATCAGAATCCATACTGTTCTGCTTATATTATAAACGCTGATATTAAACGTTACTCTTATAGTCATCGGACATTACCTGGTCTCATTTTTAATGAATTCAGCACCAGTTCAGGTATGTTGAAGTTACGAAATTGACGAACTAGAAACTGTTTGTATAACAAGAATCTGTATGTCAGCAATGGTGAAATAAGAGTTTTGTTTATTATGACTTTTCCCTTCTGGTAGAAGCTTTTCAGTTTGTTTACTTTAGCCCAAAGTAGCACTTGTTTCATAGAATTACCCTCCATTTTATTTCTTCTGTGATACAAGTTCTAGAATTTTCGATGGTATATTTGTTATCAATATTTCTGACTCTGCTATTTAATGTTGTTGGCGTCACCCTCTCATTATTTATTTGCTTTCTCGTTATTTATTTGCCAGTATTTTTTAAAACATTAGACATACTTAGTAGTATTGTAACGATACTTGTCTGGATGGGAAGTGGGGGATTAAAAGAGACAAGGAAATCCAGGTGCAAGAATCCAGGTGCGCTCAGGTGTCTTGAAGCACACAACGGTGAGCTTTTGGAGATGGGTATATAGATCTAAGACGGAGGTATGTTTATAAAAACAATGTTGAATTGAAATGTACCAATGAAAATAACATAATTTGGTACTGAAAAAACTAGTCCTTTGTCGAGGGAGGGGAAAAACTCGACACTTGACCTATGAAGAGCTTGGTTTAACTCTTAGTCTCCCGACGGTACTTTTAAGTACCATCAAATTCTGGTATCCTTATATTCCAGGCATAAAATTTAATAATACTTACCACATAAAATTGCATTCACAACCATAGTTTTCAGCTGACGTTTAAAACGTCAAATGTTAATTACTATTTAACTGGGAATAAGCCACAAGGTTAAAGTACGATTATTGACGTTTCAATTTCCACTTCGGAAATCGTTCTCGAAATCGAAAAAAAAAGTGGAAATTGAAACGTCAATAAATGTACTTAAACCTTTAATTGTGGCTTATTCCCAGTTAAATAGTAATTAATTTAAAATGCCACAAGTAAATAGCTTTAGAACAATATTCAAATGTTATTTAACCGATTTTAGCTTATTATAAAAATTTATGAAAATAAGGCGGACTTCAAAGTACCGTCACAGAATAATAAACAATCAGAATGCCCACTCTCAGATGCCGCTTTTGAAGTTTTTCAGCACGCGCGCCATGTTTTAGAAGGAAACAACACAGACATGATTTGTGAGATTATGTAATTGTTTATATTTATGTTCAATTATATTATTATTTATGTTATTATATTTAACAATGTTAATATAATTGTATAGTATGTCTATGATTGCCGTAAATCAATTAAACCGGGTTAATTTTTCTATGCACACCACATAAACAACACTGGTTCCCTCTAAAGCATGGCGAAACGTCTGCGCGAACGAGATGCGCGTACTTAATTTTCCATGGGGAGTGGGCATTCTGATTGTTTATTATTCTGTGGTACCGTTGGGAAGTAACTGTCAAAAAAAATCTAAACGTCGTGGGAGACTAAAGGCGGAGTCCCATGCATCCGATTTCCGACGACATGATGATCCCAAAGTATTCTCATTGGTCAGAATCGAATCAGAATATTTTCGCGCCGAATTTCATCCGAAATTTTTAACTACGCTTCCGACATCGGATAAAGATAAAATTATTTCAACTTTTTCCGACAAAACGGATGTTTTGCAACCTAATTGTATTCCAATAGTTTAACATCTGTACATTTAATTTATTGAAACATGAATTTTAATCGAAGAAGCTATGTTCGTAAAGTTAATAAAACGCTATTATTATGTCTGCTTCTTTTAATTCGCAAAAAAAACAAAACGTAAAATTCGACAAAGAAAATATATATTTAAGCTAAATGATGTTTGCAATTACGAATGCGTAATTACACATTTCAGAAGTTACATAGTTTCTTCTACGTTATCCATAATAAACTGAGTAATTGAAAGCAGGAGAAGGGATTATATACCATGCGGAAATAATCCCTTCTGCTGTTTTACTACGCAAAAGTGGTAAAACAGCAATTACCAGCCAAACCACCAAACATCCAAACAATAATTGACAATAAACAAAAAATTTACAGTTAACAGTTTATACGGGTTTTCGTGTCCGGCAATCGCATCCATGTGACTAGCTTCCAAATAGCAACTGCGAAACCATACGATTTTCGTATGTCGGATCTCGGAAATCGGATACATGGGACTTCGCCTTAAGGGTTAAGAAAGATTTAAAATAATGTCTATATCTGTCAACAAAAGCAAAATGCATACGTAGTCATAAAGAAGAAGAAGCAAACACACTTACCTGCCTAGGAACCACCTATATTGGCAAAGGTGTTCTCAAGAAAGCGAGGTGTCGTTTGCAACGGGATCATCCCGGTACAGTCAAACTGACCTTCCATACGTCCAAAATCAGAATGCTCTTCCCAAACTCAATTGAAACGCAATTCTTAGTGTTGATTAAAAATCTTATTTAATTTCTATGATGTACTAAGTGGGCAAAAAAATGCTACATTGTGAATAAACGATTTTATATTAATTTTGTTTAAACAATTTTTTTTTGTTACAGGTAGAGGAGAACAAGGCAAAGCAGAACACTTGTATAGTAACGAGACTGACCAATATGATGCTCTTTACAAAGTAAATGGATTTAATGCGGCACTTAGTGATAAAATTGCTTTAGATAGAGCCATACCTGACATCAGACATCCAGGGTAAGACTAACATTATTTTACGAAAAGCCGTAGGTATGTTTACGAAAGTATTTTACGAAGAGTCATAGTTATTAAAATAATTATTTTGCATAAGTTTAAGATATTTTCGCATATACAATTTCATTTTACAGTTTTTATTTAGATTTTAACACGTTTTAAGAAAAACTAAAATTGCCTGACAGTCTAAACCTTCAATTCTAATCTTTGAGATTGAAATGACAAGGTGAGCGTTTTTTAATACATGGAGTGGAAAATATTGCACCTCTGCTATTCTAACTTTTGACTCTACATCCCGAAAGAGTTTAGTTGAGCTGCATCCAAACCATTCTATAAGGAAATCCGTAAAATAGTTTCGAAACTATTTTACGGATTTTATTATTAGATGTCGCTATCGCGTCCGTATTGAAGCCATTTTAGTGTTGCTTCTTAAAAGACAGAAAATATTGATTTTTCACGTTGAGAACACCTATGAATAACTGTTCTGATGAGACCTATTAGGTCGAAATACGTATCAACAGATACATAGGAGTTGTTTGCGTGAAATCAAATATTTGCTGTCTTTTTCATTTTATTCGGATATGCTCTGTGTGAGTACGAGAAACACAATTCGCTAAGGATTTCTGCTTAGTTGTAAAAGACATGTCGTGGAATGCAAATTTTAGATTCCCCATGTCCCTTTTAACATCTTTTATCAACGTCTGTTTGCCTTGCAATTTTTAGAAGGCTCAAATTATAAGCAGAAATCTGAATTGTGTTTCGAAACTATTTTACGGATTTTATTATTAGATGTCGCTATCGCGTCCGTATTGAAGCCATTTTAGTGTTGCTTCTTAAAAGACAGAAAATATTGATTTTTCACGTTGAGAACACCTATGAATAACTGTTCTGATGAGACCTATTAGGTCGAAATACGTATCAACAGATACATAGGAGTTGTTTGCGTGAAATCAAATATTTGCTGTCTTTTTCATTTTATTCGGATATGCTCTGTGTGAGTACGAGAAACACAATTCGCTAAGGATTTTTGCTTAGTTGTAAAAGACATGTCGTGGAATGCAAATTTTAGATTCCCCATGTCCCTTTTAACGTCTTTTATCAACGTCTGTTTGCCTTGCAATTTTTAGAAGGCTCAAATTATAAGCAGAAATCTGAATTGTGTTTCGAAACTATTTTACGGATTTTATTATTAGATGTCGCTATCGCGTCCGTATTGAAGCCATTTTAGTGTTGCTTCTTAAAAGACAGAAAATATTGATTTTTCACGTTGAGAACACCTATGAATAACTGTTCTGATGAGACCTATTAGGTCGAAATACGTATCAACAGATACATAGGAGTTGTTTGCGCGAAATCAAATATTTGCTGTCTTTTTCATTTCATTCTATAAGGTTTCTCAGCCAGGACATTCTTCTTCTACCTATGCTGTGCTTTCATTGAATCTTTCCCTGTATTATTAGTTTTAGGAATTCATATCTATCACCACGTGCTGTATTACCCAGATATTGTAGTTTTCTTATTGTGATGGAATACAGTATCTCCCTGCTGTTATTTATTCTTCTTAGTACTTCTTCATTGGCTATTCTGTCTGTTGTTTTTTTTTGTAATCATTTTTTTCATTAATGTTTGCTCCTAAATAGTTATAATTCTGAACTCGTTCTATCATCTTATTATTTACGTGTAGATTGATGTATCTAATATTTTTCTTTGATATAACCATGAATTTTGTTTTCTTTATGTTTAGTGACAGACCAAATTTTCGCTGCAACAACCTTTTCTAAAATTCTTTGTAGATCTGTAATATTTTCTGCTATTAGTATTGTATCACCGGCATATCTAATTTTACGTATGGGTAGTCCGTTTATCTTTACGCCTGCTACTTCATCTTTTAATGCTTTTTTGAATATTTCCTCTGAGTATGCATTAAACAGTGATGGCGACAAGACACAGCCCTGTCTAACACCTCTTTTGATTTTTATTTTATTAGTTTTTAAATTATTTATTCTTATGACAGCTTCTTGTTCATAATACAGATTATTTATTATTCTTATATCCCGTGTGTCGATGTTCTTTGTTCTCAGGAGTTTTATTAACGGATTATGTTTCACTGTATCGAATGCCTTGTTATAATCCAGAAAGCAGACATAGATGTCCTGGATTGAATTACTAAGAACCCGTTAATGCTTTTAAAAGTGGTATAATTTAAATTTTATTTGTTTTAGATGTAAAGCCAAGAAGTATTTGAAGAATCTTCCATCGGTAAGTGTAATAGTTCCTTTCCATAATGAACACTGGACGACGTTATTACGAACAGCTGTGAGTGTCATCAACAGATCACCTCCCCATCTCTTAAAAGAAATAATTTTAGTAGACGATTTCAGTAACAAACGTAAGTTATTTTACCAATATTTCATTCAACGCACATTCTGTTTAAATACAGGGTGTTTCAAAAAAAGGTAACCCCGTCTCTAGGGTAGGTAAAAAACTGAAAAATAATTGGGGTTTGCTTAGTAAAAAATTTTTGTAACGCCATCCGTTTTCAAGATACAGGGCGTTGAAGAAAAAAAATATACGCATTTTTTACGATTTTGCCGAGACTACTGGCAACATTGTAATGAAATTTTATACAAATATGTTTTGGAAGCTGATACATCCCATGAATTTGTTTTTATATCTGATTCTCATAGAGGGCGCTAGTTACACGGATCGTACTAAATATTAGTCAATATAACTTTTTTAAGAGTATAATTATTAATCAAAATTTCAAGTAAACTTAAACATCATTCAATTGTACACGAAAAAGTTACTCTTGGTAAAACTCGATACTGTGTACCGTTTTCGGAGTATTTTGATTTGAAAATTCTGTAGTAATAATTGATGTTGGTAGTAATGATAAAGTTCTAATAGGTATACCTCTATTTTCTCCTAGTGTGCCATGGAAATATGACATTTATTGATTGTTATGATGATAAATCAACAATAATTAGGGTTTTGAAACCTTGATATTTGTAAAATCAAATCAAAATGTGTTCAAATGTTGAATACACTGACATGTTATTAACCTTAGGCGAATGTTTAGGATGTTCTAGTGCAGCTGTGACACGTTATGCAGAAAAGTTTCCTAGAAGAAACTTACCAAGTAAAAAAAAACCTTTAGAGCCGTTGAGCGACGTTGTCGAGAAACTGGGAATGTGAGACCAAATAAAATAAATTCTGGTAGACCAAGAACAACAAGAACAATTAATAAAGAAAATCATATTTTGAATTTACTTGATCAAGATCCAACAGTTAGCGTAAGGAATATAGCAAGACAAACAAATATTTCTTCAAGTACTTGGCGGATACTGAAAGAACAGCAATTACATTCTTATCATTATTAGATCTTTATTTTTTATGCACGATGGAGCTCCACGACACTTTGATAGAAGGTGTCGTAATTGGTTGAGTAAATCATTTTCCGAATCGATGGATTGGTAGAGGTGCAGAAGCTCCGATTCATTGGCCTCCTCGGTCATGCGATTTTAACCCTGTAGACTACGCAGTTTGGTCGTATATTAAGGAAAAAGTCTATGCTACAGAGGTAAATTCACGCCAAGAATTGGAAGAAAGAATTCAACGTAAATTTAATGACATCGTAGCTGATCCCCTACCGTTTCGAAGGTTAATGGAATCTTTAGAAAAAAGAATAGACTTGTGTATTCGCGAAAACGGAGGACCTTTTGAACACTTACTGTAATTGAATTTTATTTTATGTTCTTAGTCAATAATTATTACTTCATAATTTTCAAATAAAAATATTCCGAAAACGGTACACAGTGTCGAGTTTTACCAAGAGTACCTTTTTCGTATAAAATTGAATGATGTTTAAGTTTACTTGAAATTTTGATTAATAATTATACTCTTAAAAAAGTTATATTGACTAATACTGAGTACGATCCGTGTAACTAGCGCCCTCTATGAGAATCAGATATAAAAACAAATTCATGGGATGTATCAGCTTCCAAAACATATTCGTATAAAATTTCATTACAATATTGCCAGTAGTTTCGGCAAAATGGTAGAAAATGCGTAAATTTTTTTTTCTTCAACGCCCTGTATCTTGAAAACGGATGGTGTTACAAAAATTTTTTTCTTAGCAAACCCCAATTATTTGTCAGTTTTTTACCTACCCTAGAGACAGGGTTACCTTTTTTTCAAAACATCCTGTATAAGGATGATAAAAAACGAATTTGTATATATACTGATACCAATATACCAATTATGATTATATACCAAATTAGATGTTGTTACATTTTTCTGTTTGTTCAGAGATTCAGTGAAGCAAACGTGGTTTAACTAATTTTATTTTAACTCGAAAAACTCATTTGATTAGATACAAATATCACAAATTCTAATTGCGCTTAAAGTTCGCACTGATATCGCTTACAAAACAATTCATCAATACTAATCTTTAAAAACCCCCTCGGCGGCTTATATAATGAGAACAATGTTCTCGAAATACGAAATTCCAGAAGGTTACCAATAAAGAGGTGATCTACTTTCTAATCGCTGGCGCTGGTCCTTTCTGTACTATGTATCTTTGTTTATTGTATTTTCTATTCTCTAGTTTTCAAAAATTGAAAATATTTGTTCCTTATAAAATAGGTAAAGAAATAATAATAAGACTTACTCACAATCAATTTAATTTAACAATCTGACGACCGGTTTCGCTTTCTACAATTTGCAAAGCATCTTCAGGTCTAGATACAAAGTTAAACTAATGCTGCAATAAAATAAACCCAATTAGGGTGGTGTCTAATAAAGATAAAATAAACAAATAAGTTAGTTCATACAAATTATAGTAATTATGCCAATATTACATGTCTGTGGTTTTCAAAATGAATAAATTTGAATATATAAAAGGTATTAACAGACAAGGTAAGACCCACAATTGGTATAAAGTAGTAATATTATATTGTAATAAATTAATAAATGAGCAGATAAATAAAACAAAACAAACATTACATTACAAGTAATGTTTGTTTTGTTTTATTTATCTGCTCATTTATTAATTTATTACAATATAATATTACTACTTTATACCAATTGCGGGTCTTACCTTGTCTGTTAATACCTTTTATATATTCAAATTTATTCATTTTGAAAACCACAGACATGTAATATTGGCATAATTACTATAATTTGTATGAACTAACTTATTTGTTTATTTTATCTTTATTAGACACCACCCTAATTGGGTTTATTTTATTGCAGCATTAGTTTAACTTTGTATCTAGACCTGAAGATGCTTTGCAAATTGTAGAAAGCGAAACCGGTCGTCAGATTGTTAAATTAAATTGATTGTGAGTAAGTCTTATTATTATTTCTTTACCTATTTGATATGGACTCACACAAGCATCACATTCATGATTTTTTCCTTATACTTATTTAATTTCCATCAAATTTTATCCTTTGGGATTTATTAATGTATGGCGGTTGGAATTAACACCACATCATCGTAAAATCTGCGTGGTTTCTTGAACTATAATTTGGTCTTTGTTTTTTTGTATTTTCTGATATGGGGCAGCATGTTTCAATTTTGTAATCGTGTCTCTATATTTCTCGAAACTTGTGTTTCAAACACTCTAAATAATTGAAATGACTTATTTATTCTAGTGCGTGCTCGTCAATTATTACATTTGTTCTTATGGGGTATTTGTCTTCATTAAACGCCACAACTTTTGTCTTTTTTGGACATATTTTCATATTAAAATTCTTACACACTAGATATATTTTGTAGATATCGCTATTTATAACTTACTTTCAGAATCTTGCATTATCCCCTAATCATAAACCCAAATATTGTTGATTGGTTTGTATATCTGTTCGTAGCTGGCTCGTTTGTAAGTCCTATACGTTGACGAAAAACAAGATCTGACGAAAAATCTGTACAGGAGAATACGGGTTAGTCGATTTCGTGTAGCTCACAAGAATTCGAACTTTGGCAGACCGCATCTTGGCGAATTTTGCGCGGGGACTCAGACCTACACCCGCAGAGAATTTAACTGACCCAGTTGCTGAAGGATGGGCCCTGGTGCAGTTGGAAAGTGACCCAAATTTTCAATAAAATCATTTTCAACGATGAAGTCCAATTTTGGGTGAGTGGGTACGTTAACAAACAGAATTGTCGAATTTGGGACAATACCAATCCAGATGAGATCCAACAACGTCCAATGTATTCCAAAAAACAATCACTGGAGTGGATTTTTAGCTGGTTCATTGATTCATATTTTGAAGGTTACCAACTCATTAACTTGTTACTAACGTTTTTGGCCTGAATTGAGTGATATGTACACCGACATATAGCTTCAATACGACGGCGCTACGTGCTACTCAACTCGTGCCACATTGTTCATTCTGAACGACCAATTTTAGGACATGGTCATCTCACATTTCTTCTTCTTCTTTTGGCATCATAACCCTGGATGGGTCTTTGCCTGTCTGGCTATGTCCTTCCATTCAGATCTCTCTTGTGCCCTTCTTCTCCATTGTCTTATGTTCATTGTTTTCAGGTCGTCTTCCACGTCATCCAACCATCTCGTTCTGGGCCTTCCTTTTTTTCGCCTTCCTATGGGCTTCCATTGTAACATTTTCTTTGTTGTTCTTGCATCGTTTTGTCTCTGCACATATCCCAGCCATGACAGTCTTTGACTTTTCACAAACCTTACAATGCCATAACCTTCATTTAACTCATTAACCTCGTCGTTTCTCCTGATTCTCCATGTGCCATCTTCCTCTTGTACCGGGCCATATACTTTCCTCAGTATTTTTCTCTCGAATGTCCTGAGTTGGGCTTCATCTTTTTTCGTCATCATCTCACATTTAGGTAATGTGAATTGGCCACTAAGATCTTGTGATTTTACCCTATTAGTCTCTTGCTTGTGGGATTTTCAAGTCGCATGTCTATCGGGTCCTTCGATACTCCATTGTATCAAGTATTAACATAACCTTTGAATAAATAAATAATCAAAATATGGCAGAATTATGAGTCAATAAAAATAAACAGTTAAATTTACATTTTATTGTTATTTTAAATAATTTCTAGCAACTAAATAAGAGAGAAAATTGAATAAAAAGTGAAAATATGAAATGACATATGTACAACTATTTTAAATAAATAATTTTGATATTAAATGAAATTGAATATTTTTTTCTTTATAAAAGATAATTTACGGGCCTGTCTGTAAACGTTTTTAGATCTTTCGGACTCCCCCACATGCAACATTACTATTTTTGTACTCTGTATTATTTTTCTTCAACTATTAAAAATATACATTTTAAAGCACTGATATGCCATTTATTTGTAGCTTTTAGCAAAAAACCTCTGGATGATTATTTAGCTGCAAATTTAACTAAAGTTAGAGCCATACATTTACCTGAAAGAAGTGGTCTAATCAGAGCTAGATTAGCGGGTGCCAAAGCAGCTACAGCTGAAGTGTTAATATTTTTAGATTCCCATACTGAAGCCAATGTTAATTGGCTTCCGCCTTTGTTAGGTAAGTGTACAATATGCAATAGATTTAAAAACCAACCAAAGTTTTCTTTGGGTACTCTTACGATAATATTAAAATGGTGACTGTTTGAGATAGAATCTGATTTTCAGTCACATGGGTGAATCGATAGTATTTAACATTAATGCCACCTTAGCAGACTTTAAGAAGAAAAAAATAACATAATGTTATCATACGTTTTGCTACGCTGTGGTTCTTGTAATTCTAGTTATTATACACTTTCACTTATTTCGATCAACTATCTGATCCATGCCGCCCATTCACCAGCTTTGTGATCTTCTAGAGACTTGGTCATAAAGTGGTACATCTGACTAAAGAACCAAAGACAAAGAGACTAGAGAACGTATTATCAAGTCTATATCTCCAGCCATATCGGAAAGCACCCCGAAATATTTACCTAACCCTTTCGAATTACGTCGTAGATTTTTATGCAAGAATAAACAAATCCAACTCTTTGTATAAACATTGGCAGATGCCTCTAACGAAATCAAGTGCTATCTTTTTTTTTTAATTCACGCTTCTTTCTCCAGCTCACATGAATTTAAAAAATATATCTTAATTTGATCGGAAATCGACGAATATTACGCTTCAAATGAATAGTACTTCAAGTCACTTCGCTTAATGCTCAAGGTTGTATAGACTGGTTCCGCCACAGGGAAAATATTAAAGTTTCTTTTTCTTTTATCTGGACGGTCTAGGAAGTCACGTTTATCTAGGAAGTCAGCAGTTCGATCTGGGCCGCGAGCCGCTTACCGGCAAGTTTAAGAAGTCATGAAGAAGTGAGAATTAGATTTGAAATATCAGTATATGGCTAATCTTTGTTTCAAGTTAAGAAAATAACATTACGCTTATGGAGATCAGTGTTGCCAAAACTCTTAGACACCCTCTTTTGCACGGATGTCCAAGATATTCCTTATGCTTAATTTTTGAATTTTCATTTTTAATTAACATTTAACTGTAAAGTCAGAATAATTACTAAATAAAAGCCTATTATCATTATGTAGTCTGAGAACGACATACAATCGCTGACATACGCACATACCGTATTATTTTATTCCGTTTATTTGCTTTTAAAACTTTAATAGGCGGTAAAATGCATGATTTAACTAAGCAATATTTTCTACTGATTTCTATGATTCATGGCATATGGTATTCTCATGGAAAAACAAATAAACTGTCGTTACTATAATTAAAATAAGATAAACTAAAATTATCTTTTGTAAATACTATTTATCTAATTAAAATCATTTTCCCTACTTTTCATCTCTTGTTTCGAATGGTCACTTTTGGTCAATCACGTTAAAAAACATTAATTAATTCATGTCTATGGAAACGAAAATACAAATTATACAACCCTAAATTGTGCTTGTGTGTGTCGTGGCAACGCCGCGTTTCTATCGTCCATAAGAAATACATGGCACTATCTCCGCAATGTTATTTTCTTAACGTGGAACGTAGTTTAGGAGCACATAAATCGAATTTGGACGGCCGATAAAAGTTCGATCGAACTTTTATCGATAGTGCTCTGCGCGCACAGTACACGACATTTATTCGATGACGTTTGGCAATCCGCGAAGGTTTGTTAGGTGGAGTACACAAAATCACAATGAACAACACAAAACTACGTAGCAACACGGAGTGACATACCTTGAGCAATGTCCAAAAAGCACAACTGGTCCTCTGATTGGTCTACAAAGATCGATGTGTGCGCGCGCTTTCATTTGGTACCGTTCGTATTGAAAGGATGACAACGATCACGGCAACCGTCCATGCAGCGGCAGTGAATGAACGCCACACGGCATCGATGTCGTACTGTTTCGGGATCAATCGAAGTTTTATCGACCGTTCAATTCGATGTGTGTGCGCATAGCGTGAAGAGACAGATATTTTGACAATGATCTGAATTTAGTTTCAGAACACTTATAAATGTTGTTTTTATTCTTAAAAGGCGCTGTAGCCTCTGTATAAGTTATTTTATTCTTACTGCCTTTGACGGAAAATATTTGTTTTCACGTTCAGGGCTTCTACCCAGTCGCTCTGATGACTTCTGCTAAGATGAAATACGTATAAGCGAATAGTAGAGGCACTATTTATACGTGAAATCAAATCTTAACTGTCTGTTCTATGTCTTTATTTACTCGTATATTTTGAGTATAAGAAACCAGGTCACGAAAGGTTCTTGTAGATTAATCGATATATGGTGGAATGCAAATTTAGATTCCCCAATGACAGTCTTTCATTGCCTGTTTGCTTTAGGTAATAATCTGAATTTTGGTTTCCAACACTTCTACTTCGAATTTCTTTTTATTTTTCTAATTTACATCCTCTTCAATCTTTTTTTGTTCCGTTTTTCTTTTTGACGAAACAGATTAACAGAAGCTGAAATTTTCTATGTTGACAGTCGGAAAATCACTTTTTCAATAAAAATGTAAACTTGTCAGCGTTCAGTGAGTGATAAATAAATCTATCAGTATCAAAACATCTTTTTTTCAGAACCAATTGCTCAAGATTACAAGACTTGCGTATGCCCTTTTATAGATGTGGTAGCGTTCGAAACTTTTGAATACCGAGCTCAAGATGAGGGTGCTAGAGGAGCTTTTGACTGGGAATTTTTTTACAAAAGACTGCCATTGCTGCCCGAAGATTTACTGCATCCTACTGAACCATTCAGGTATACTTTGTAATGTTGGTTATTACTTCTATTTCTATAGATAGTTTATACTATTGGAGATATTTAACGATTCAGCTTGCCTTCCTGCGTTCTGTTATTTTTAAGAACTTAAATTTGTCATCAACTCGTCGATGGCTATGTACTAGTAGCTCGCAGAGATTTCTGGTTACTCACAATATATTTTCAACTATTCAGTTTCGTTAATTTTTACAAAATACACAAACTATCAACGTAACTAAGGTAATTTGAAAATAAACATTTAAATTTTGTTTATTCTCACTCGAAGATTCTTAGATGCAATCTCTCTTTCGGATATTTATAAGACGTGTATTAGAACCTTATAAAAGGTAAAAGAAAAATGCTACAAGTTGATGCTGTGGTATATCTTTTTTTTTAATTTACATAGAACAAGTGAACTTCTTTTTATCCCTTTGGGTTACACAGAGAAGGTGACCTATCGAGACTTTCCTATTTATGTGCTTCCCACTAACCCGATTTTTAATATTTTCATACAATCTGCTAAGGGTGATGGTAAACGTGACCGAGAACAATACAATGTTTTCTTGACAAAGGGTGGCGTTTTTACTACGTCACAGATGGGTATCACTTGGGTAATCTTCTTCCTGTCTTGTACCGTTTTTAAACAATAGGAATTCCAAAATTGAAAATTTCCACAGATAAGAATTATTAAACAACGATTTATCAATATCTAGATTTACAAATACATACGTTTACATACACATATATCTCAAGGAACATATACACATATACAAAAATATATAACTTCGAAGGATTAAATCTAGATGAGATTAACAGCGGATAAACATTTTCAACCGAATTGGTTCAAAATATGTTCAATTGAGCATGAGATAAAACAGAGAGAATAAAGATTTATATATGATTCAAAAGTAGGGTAAAACACTATGTAGAATAAGATATGAGACAAAGAGATAGAGAGATATAGAGAGAGATTATTTCAGATCCGGCTCGAAGGACCAAAATATGTACAAAAATGTGTACATATGTGGGAAATTATTAATATAATTTCCGTGTATGTGGACTGTATTATATAGGGCTGGTTCAATAAAATTAGGATAAGTAATAAAAGGTATACAGACAATAGCAATTTAAGTGTATAAAAAGTCTTACCAATATTTTTCTGCTCCACACTCTCGCGGTTTTTCTTTTCTTATGCGGAATACGTCCGGGCACACTCGCGGTTGGTCTAAACACGTGTTTCGCGGTACTACACTTTGCGAGATAAAGCACACTTTGTCTGTACACGATTTAAAATAATGTTTGCAGTATTTCTCGCGTAACTAAGGCGAGAGAGAGAGAGATATTTGCGGTAGAAAAACAGCCAAAATAGATGCTGTTCTTCTTGATAAGCGAAGAGAGAGATAATGAATGAGAGAGGACGTCTGGCACTAGTGATGGCCAAACTAACAGAGTTGAGAAAATGGTCTGTCCTTAACGACGGGCGACCATCAAGAGAGCTTCTTCTTCCTTGCTATCTTGAAACTGTCTGTATTTCTAATGGAGAGGGGGTAAAATGTAAGTGGGAAGGGTATTAAGGGTTGGACTAAAATAATTGTTGTAAAATTGTGATATAAGGATAATTAATAATACAGCGAAAAAATGACATGGTTTTTTCGCATGTGAGAAAATTGAACAGTACTCATGTATTTCTACCATGTTTTATTTTTGGCTTTTTTCTCCTTTCTTAAATATTCATTTCTATTTCTTCTTTCCACCAGTTTGGATTTGTTCTAGTTCTTCTTTTTTCTAACTGTCTCAAAACTTCGTTTAATGAAATATTTAATTTCTATTTTTTAGGAGTCCGGTCATGGCAGGTGGACTTTTCGCTATCAGCGCCAAATTTTTCTGGGAAATAGGAGGATATGACGAAGGTCTGGATATTTGGGGAGGAGAACAGTACGAACTTAGTTTTAAGATTTGGCAATGTGGTGGACAGATGTATGATGCACCATGTTCCAGAGTTGGTCATATTTACAGGAAATATGCACCCTTTCCTAATCCAGGAAAAGGTGATTTTGTTGGAAGGGTAAGTTAATCTGTAATAATAATCTGTATCTATTAAATTACAAAATTTTTATGATGATGAATACTACTGAAGTGATTGCGATGCTATTGTGACATATGTATGGGTTTGGCTATAAGGGTATAACAGATTTAATAATTATGTCGAACACAGTGTGATCCATTTAGATTGGAAACACTTTCAAATTTTATAAATGTATTTCCAATCTAAATAGGGATCTTAAAACCATGAACATCAGGCAGTGGCGAAGGAAACTATCCGACAGGGCAGAATGGAAGAACATTGTTAAGCAGGCCAAGACTCACAAAGGTTTGTAGCGCCATTAGAAGAAGAAGATTTCCAATCTAAATAAGACACATTGTATAAAATATGTTTAGAAAGTAAATTATTTTAATTTGTTTTAAATTAAAAAAGTACGATAGTAACTTTAATCAAACATGCATCATTTGGAAGTGAGCTCCTATTTATTTGTATATATTTACTAATACAATATATTCAAGGATTATTATTAATATATCTATAATGTTCTATTACTTAGAACTACAAAAGAGTTGCAGAAGTATGGATGGACGAATATGCCCAATATTTGTACAACAGGAAGCCCTATTGGAAGACCCTTGATGAAGGCGACCTTACAGCTCAGCGCGCCATTAGGGAAAAACTGCAATGTAAATCGTTTAAATGGTTCATGGAAACAATTGCATTTGACCTTCCTTTGAAGTATCCTCCTATTGAACCACCAGATTTTGGATACGGAGAGGTAAGAGCTTTTAACTTAGATTTTTTTTTTGTACAAAGGAACAAAAAAACTTTTTTTGTTCCTTTTAATTTTTTCTTATGGACATCGTATCGAAATATATTCTTATATAAAGAATTCCATTATTTTTTGTGCTTCCATACAATTTTCTGTCGATTTTAACCATCGCCTTTTTTTTGAAAAATGATGTTGTGTTGATTTCAAACCACTGTTATGTGACGGAATTGAGCCCACGTTACCAATCTTAACTTGTAGAGTAAGCCGAAGCACTTGGTACCTTTCTTAGTACTTCAGTGTTTTTAAGACGTTGTTGCCTTTCATATAATGCTTGGTGAAAGATTTTTCAGTAGTTGAACAAGAACAGTGACAGCATCTAGTCATGTCGGACCTATTTTTGCTTTCTGATCCCAGTAAAGAGTCAATATTATTCTTATGTCTTGTTCATTTGGATTAGGTTCTCGAAGTAGTTTTGCGTGTGTCGTAATATTTTGAGAAAGCATTCGCTACAATATTACGCGTTTTGCTTGATGTTTCCTTTGCTGGTTACAGTTATAGCTTGTTTAATTGCTTCCCATATTATTCCAACATCTCCATCGTTATCTTTCTGAATTAGAACTTATTAATCTCACTAATGTTTGTTTTAATTTATAGTTTTTTAAAAACTATCCATGAATACTATGGCAGGTTTTTGTTACAGATAGTGTCGGATGCCTTCGAATACTGTTTTAAAAACATTTCGCAAAGTATACAGTGCTAGTCAACAGTCCGTTACCCCCTCGTATCTTTTGAACGGTTATTGTTATCATGGTGAAATTTAGAGGGAGGTAATAAACAGTCGTAGGTAGAGATGTGTAACACTGTGTTGAATGGCACCCTTGTATTGACACTTTAGAGTGTGTCAATCGTATTGATACAGTTGAACTGACACAGTGACACCTATGACACAGTTCAACACACCAACACAGCATATTAAAATTATTTTTTGTGATACGTGTCCTGCAGTGTCGACTTCAGACGACACAGTGTCAGTTTCTGTTTTGTTAATCTTCGACACGGATACAATAGATTACAGCATACCCACAAGCTCACAAATTTAATTTTGTAGTATGCGTTGTTGCCGCGAGTATAATTATTGTAAAAGTACTCAATTAAAGTGAAGAAAATTTATGGTCGGCAATTAAAAGAATGACCATATAACTTACAATAATTAAAAGATTTTAAAGGAAGTATTATACATTATCTATTTTTTATTTCTTTCACTAAATTCGAATCTAGAAATAATCAGTGTTAAAACTTATCCAATTTAGGGTATTTCTCTTAAAATGTAAAATGCATTTTTCCGTTTTTGAAAGGTTATAGTTTAAATAATGTAACAATTAAAAAGAGAAAAAAAGAGAACAAACATGTATTAAGAGGAATAAACTATAATAATATATACATATAAATCAATAAAGTTATAAAATTTCACATATATATATATATATATATATATATATATATATATATATATATATATATATATATATATATATATATATATGGATGTATGTATTTAACACATATTATTAATCACTGTTACTTAAATTGTAGTTCAAAAATATCACTTGAGAAACTTTTTCTGTTTTTAACCTTTCTCTTCTCTCGTTCATTATCTGCCCCGATTTTGAAAAAATTCTTTCACAGGGGACAGATGTACCCACAATACAGAGTCTTGTCTTCATAATTTTGAATAAGCTTGGATAAATATGCTTTCGTTGATGCCACCAGAGAAGAGGATCCTGACATGCTCCTGAGCTATCCTTTCTAAATAATATAGGTTCTTCTAAATATTTGTCTACTTCTATAATAGCCGATGCTTTTGGATTGTCTGGCTTTGTATGTTGTTGCACCTCCATGTCATAATCCATCCACAAACGTTGAAGTAAATCTTCCGTGTGGTGTGGGTTTTGGTTTTGGGTTTCCTCTTCTATATTTACATTATCGTTCTCCGCATTATCTGTACATTTTATATTGGCTACTTTTGTGTATAACTTTTCAACAGCTTCTTTGTATTTGTTATGATCTATGAACCCATACTTTTTAAATCTGGGATCAAGTATAGTAGCTTCACATATTAAATTATTTTCTTCCAGGTCGGAAAATCGTTCTCTTAGCTTAAGCTCTAATTTATTTATCATATTTTGGATTGGAGGCATAAACATATTTACTTCTAGTCCATTTAGATACTTATTTATCTGTTTATAATAAAATATTATAGTAGAAGCACTAACACTTTGCTCAGAACTTACGGCAGTAGTGATTACATTGAATATTTCTAATATCTTTATAGATTGCTCTGCTATTACCCAGTCTTCATTTTGCAATGGAGTAACGGATTCAACGGTTGCGGTATTTAGAATTGCCAGCGTTGATATTATGGCATTTTTCATTTTTAAAATTCGCGTAATCATGTCGTAAGTGGAGTTCCATCTGGTAACAACGTCATTTTTTAATTTTAGTGGAGCCATATCCATGCGTTCTGCAGTGGCTTTCAATTGTGCAGATGCATGACTAGTTCTTCTGAAGAATACAACAATTGTTTTTATTTTGTCCACTATTTCTTTTATTTCTTTTAGTCCTGACTGGGTAACTAAATTAATAGAATGAGCAAAACATCCCCAAAAGTTCCAGCCACCAATGCGCACAGCTGCTTTCATATTTGCCGCATTATCGGAAATAACTGCTGCTATTTTATTTTCGATATTCCATTCAGATATTAGTTTTTTTAGCATACTACATATATTTTCAGCAGTATGTCTTTCTGTCAAGGATATGCATCCTAACAAATCTGAGGTCAAAAAAGTTCTTTTATCCTCTTCTACAATATAATGTGAAGTAACGCTAAAAAAACTATCATTTGTGCGTGACGTCCATCCGTCAGTTGTGAGACATACTGCATACGCTCTTTCAAGACGTGTTCTGACAATGTCAACAGTTTGATTATAAAAAGCCGGAACCATTGAATTTGAAACTGTTTTTCGCGAAGGCACTTTATAATTGGGATTCAATAGATACAGCAACTTCTTAAATTCTGTGTCTTCCACAATACTAAACGGATGATACTCCTTGGTGATCATTCGAATTAACTGTTTGTCAATTTCATTTTGTTTAGTAATTGCCAGTGGCCTTTGAAAAAATCCCGTTATGGTTTGTAATTTTCTTACTTGGAATGTACTCAAGGTGGAGGATGGTTGAGGTTGGACCTCAGAGGATGTAGATGCAATAGCTTCTACAGTACCTTCGTTTGCTGGAGTAGAGCGAATTGCTTGCTCTGTTTTTTGGCGTTTTATCAACAATGTGGGATGTTTTTGGTTCATATGCCTTATAAGTGTTGAAGTCGATTTATTTTTTACTGATAATATCTGGGAACAATATACACATTTGACCTTACCATCAATTTCATCAGAAAAGTAAGTCCAGATCTCACTTTTTTTTGGAGGCATAGTCAAAACGTTTACCAAAAATCTAAAATAACGTAAGTAATTAGAATTTACATACTAATTTATTAAAAATATTCATACCCAAAATTATTGTAATTTAAAACAATTGTCGATCCAGTGGATATTTGATAAAAAATTAACAATACACCCTTTAAGAAACTTTCACAATGAAACCGTCAATGAATGAACCCGTGTAGTGTCTAATTTTCTATTATAAAGTAGACTAATTCGGAATTCCTAATTCCCAACTAAGAAAACCTACACAGGAAATAGTACCGTGCTGCCACTTACTGTGTGGCGTTTTACTATTGTATTATGGCATATTTTTATTTTTATAATACACTTTTTATTATAATGATTTTTGGTATTTTCAGCCAACTAATTAATGTTTTCTTTTAATCTTACCCATAATTTTTTTAATATTGAGATCACTTCACACAATATAAAAGTGATTTAAATACACCAATGTTATTTTGATAGGGTGTTTTAAAGAAACTAAATCATTTGGCAACTATGTGCATAGCTATATTTAGAATTCGTATCAAGGGTATCGTTTCTCGCTCGATGTAACACTTGTGCTACGGGATAAGGAACAATTTGTGTCTACGCTGTGCTGGTGCTCTGACGCAAAATAATACTGAAACAGAAACAGAAACAGAGTGTCAAAACAAAAATTTACGGTGTTACCCATGACTAGTCGTAGGCTTCTTAACTAGTCATAACAGGTGACGTAATAGTGACAGATGACGTTACAGCGCCACTGTGATACTTAATTTTAAATGGGACCTTATGGCAAGTGATACCTTGTTTGAAAGGTATAGAAAATAACTAATCAGTCATAACATTTTTTTTTAATTTTAAATAACGCTGGGCCTATAACGGTTTCTTAATATTGTTCTGAAGCTATTTTATTGTGGCATTTTAAAGTAATTACTATTTAAATTGGAATAAGCCACAATTAACGGTTAAAGTAAGTTTGTTTATTGACGTTTCAATTTCCACTTCGGAAATAGTTCTCAAAATACTCGTATTTTGATATTTAAATTGCAGAACTTCCTCCCTATACCATGTTAGTTCACAATATCACAGTTTGCTAAATTATTATGTATTTATCACCTGTGACTATCTGAATCAGACCTTTAGATAGCTTTGATGAAGTAATGACTATTTTCTGCTCTCTACCGTGTTCCAAGTTGGTTGCTCGGCTGTCTCTAAGTACTGAGAGAATCATTTCAGAGTTCCTCGTCCACACAAGCCAAAAAAGTCACATTTTAATGATGTTATCAATAGTAATACCACTAGTGATTCAATTTTCGCGATAAGTCGGTCGATTTACTTCTAAACGAAACTGAGTTGCTTGAAAACCCGATCCTAGGTGAGGTTGTAGCATTAACCACCAGGCCGAAGAAGATGATGTCCACACAAAATACACGATGCCAACCCCACCACAAGGCCAACAAAAGCAGAGATACGTACAATGTGCAATGAGTTAGGAAACCACAGAAACTAACTCGCCCTGTCCTTTTTAGTTATGAACGCGGTACTCGTAAGGAGTTAATTCGAGGACATCATAGTAGTCATCAGGGAGATCCGCTCCCACCGCATTTAGTAGGAGGGATGGGATGTGTGGTACTTTATTTTTGGGTTTTCTGACTACTAAGTGCCCTCTAGGGTGGCAAGGCATCTTGAGAGCTCTCTGGGCCCTGGTGTTGCGACCCTGGACAGTCCGCAAGGTGTATCTCTTGCCTAAGGATTGGAGTCGGGTTGTTATTAATGGGGTATTATTAGCTGTAGCGTGTATTAACTGTGAGGGATAGTGGAAAATCTTCCTGCATATCTTTCACAGAATCTGCCTCTCGCATGCAAGAATTTTGTTCCTTTATCTACGTTTTAATGTCATAAACAAAGGAGCACGGTATTCAATAACTGGTCTTATGAATGTTTTATAAGTGTGCAATAGTGTCGTTTTATTTGCAGCTCCGAATTTTCCGTTTATACCCCCCCAGAAGCGATGCTCGTTGTCTTACTTGTTTCAGGACATTACAAAGTTCTGGCTCCCAGTTAAGAGTTCTTGCTAGAATAACTCCTAAGTAGGCGACAGAAGATTTGATTTCGAGCCTCGTCTGATTTAGGTATAAAGGCGAAGGATTCTCGAGTCGATATGTCGGGTGACTGAACACGATGTTTTGTGTTTTAGCCGCGTTGAGAGTAATACGCCACTTTGCACACCATTTAGTTATGTTATTTATTTGATTTTGTGTGTTATTGAATGCTGCTTCTTTCATGCCTGACGCGAGGAGAGCCGTGTCGTCCGCATACAGGAGGATTTTCATTGAGTGTCTAGGACCTCGAGGTATGTCATAAGTATAGATACTGTATAATGTAGGAGCCAATACGGAACCTTGTGGAACTCTCGCTAGGGGAGTAAAGGGTTCACTGAGTTCTGTTGCCACTTTAACTTTAACCGTTCTATTAGATAGATATGAGTGCATTGTTAATATGAATGGGAGGGGCAGTCCAATTGCTTGTAATTTCTTGATCAGGCATGTATGCCAAACCTGATCAAAAGCTTTTTGGATATCTAGTAACGTGCCTATAACGACGTTGTTTCTGGAATTAATGCTTTGTGATATATGTGAGACTACTTCTGTTAATGCATTTTGTGTTGAATGTCCCGGCCTGAATCCGAATTGGAAGTTTGGAATGATATTGTTGTTCTCTAGGAAGTCTTCGAGCCTCTTTTTTAGGAGACGCTCGTAGATCTTGCCTAGTGTATTTAGGAGCGATATTGGTCTGTACGATTCAGGATTTGTACGGGCTTTTCCTGGTTTAGGGATCATTACTGTGTTTGCTATTTTCCAGTCTCCTATAGTTAACTGCTATAGTTAATTGCTGCATTAACTATAGTCGTGATTATTGTGAATATACTCGGAGGTAGTTGTTGGTACATCGTTGAAAACGATACACGATAAAACGATACGTACAGGTACGTCGTTGAAAACACGAAGCTGATAGACCAATCAGAATTGAAAGACAGTTAGTGTTTTCGCAATAACACAAGCTGTCTTTGGTTTGTGATTGGTCAGATTATGTGAAAATTTTAAGATGAGTGAAATAGTCGTTAGAATTTCTAAAGTGTTTATTTGTGATTCAAAGGGAAAAAGCCTATCTAAAATCTCTCTTCGTTTCTATTCTTAGATATTTGCACTTGATAATTAGTCTTTATACCAGTATTATTTTAAAGTGGTTGAGAATAATCTTAGTCCCACCATAAGAAATCATTTGGCCAACTGTCCTTTTCTTTTGCAAAGCCCGCTCGAAATGCTCAATATCAAGATGGTCATAAGAACTATGTTGGGTTATGTATGGTAAACATAGTATGTATGGTAAACATTCCTGGTTACCCTAATTAGGTTGTGAATGGACTCAGATATCAAATTCAGGACAATTATTCCATGTAGCCTTCGAGAAGCCTTCTCAATGGTGATCACTAACTTAATATTTACTGACTCTCCATCGGTCTCCTGTCGGCGTGAAACGTGCACTAACCATCAAAGTCCAATATGACCCCGGCTTCCACTTTCACTTGTCTGTATGTAGACCAGCATCCCTTGTTTAATGAATGACCTGTTGCAGAACGCGTATTCCCCGCTTTTAGAAGGCATGGATCGTAGAACTCAGACGAGTGTTTGCCATAGAGCCTTTTACAGTCGAATTATTCACTATCAGATTTATAACCGAGATTTCATTTGCCATTTATAGTAATTCCATTCATTTTACAGATGCGTAATCTTGGAGTACCAGAATTGTGCGTGGACGCTACAAACAAAAACAACCAAGGCGATGTGTTGGTAGTTGCTACATGTATAAAAGATTCAGGAAAACATGGAAGTCAAAACTTTACCCTGACTTGGCACAAAGACTTGAGAGTAAACAAAAAGACTATGTGTTTGGATGTTTCGGATCCCAATGAAAAAGCTGAAGTAACTTTATATGGTTGCCATGGGATGAAGGGTAATCAATATTGGAAGTATGATACAGTAAGTATAGAATTGACTAATAAATACGAGTACTGAAAATTTTAAAATTTTACGTTGAAAATGTAGTCTTGGATATTTTTTTGACTATCCAGAGCTCGCTATGCATGAGAAAGACGGGAAAACATTGAATTAACCATATAGACAACTATTTTGGACCTATAAGGCTGAAATTTGGTAAATGATCATATTTTATAGTATACGAGAATACACATGTAAAATTTACTTTTAACACGTTAAGCGCCACCATGTTAAAAAGAAATGCAGTTCTAGGAGCCGCTGTGTAAAATTCATAAATATGTATTAAAAATGCCCTACTTAACTGTGTCTTTTATAATTTATATCATCATCACAGTCATTAACATCTTAGTAAATGTGTTGTGGTTCATAATTGGGCTTCAGCAGCTCGGACAGTTTGATTGATAATATTTCTCCACTGGTCGCGGTCATCAGTTATATGTATTGCCTCAGTATACTGTTTATTGAGAAGCTTTTTAGTAATGTCCGCCCATCGCTGTGGAGATCTTCCGCGTGTTGTATCGAAATGGATACAAGTGGCCCATTTTCATAAATTGACGCTGTTGGCCACTTGCATCGATTTGGATTCAGCATTATAAACTATATAATCCGGACCTTATGTTCAAACAGAAAAAATAATCCTCCTGAAATTGTGAAAGTTAGAGAAGTATCAGTCTACGACTTTACAAAGCAACACAGGTTGTACTGTGTTAACATGGAAGGACAAAAAATATGTCTTGGTGATTTCAACAAAGCACAGATATGTACATAAATAAGCACAAAGAAGATATGGCGAGGAAATAGAAAAACCGACAATAATTTTAGAGTACAATAGATGTACTACTAGTTTACGAAAAGGGATCAAATTGTATCGAAAATTAGCAATAGAATTACTAACAGGAACTACGCTAATAAATGCGTATTGTGTACATCAGATCGTAACAAAGAAAAAAATGTCCATCACCAAATTCAAAGAACAAGCTCAGCTTTTGGACGAAAATTTAACAAGACCTTTTCTGTCTAATAACATCAACGAAAATCATATTTTAGTGGATGATAATAAGAAAAGAAGATGTATGGCTTGCTACGAAAGGCTAACAAACAGCCACGATTGCAAATATGCACAAGCCAAATCTTCGTAAACTCGCCACAAATGTAGTGCTTGTAAAGAATTTTATTGTCTTAGATGTTTTTTTTATTTCTCATAAATCCGAAATATTAATGCAATAACACTTATTAAGAGTTTGTAATAATAGCTACTAAAAATAAATGTGTTATTTTTTTATTTAAATTAATTGCATTTTATTTTTAACAAAATGTGTTATATAATTATCAACTTGTAAAAAAAATCGTTGGCCAAAAACAAATTTTGGACCAGCCGGCCATGCTTTATAAGTCCCCCATTAAATTAAATACAAACCCTGCATTCTTTTGAATTCAGCTAGCCTAAAGTGAAAGTACTCCTTTGTATCTGTTTGGATACAGGTGGCCAAAAATGATCAAAGTCGTTTGTATCTAATAGGATACAAATGGCGCTTAAGGTGTTAAGATGCTTTTAATTTTTAAGTATACTTTTTTTGTCTTGCGTTTTTATGTTTAAGTGAAACTTGGCCGACTTTTATTACAACAACGACGTTAAATTGAGTTAGTTAAGCTTGTTACATTTTTTCACAGTATCCAGTATCTTAGTAAAACTTTTGCTTTATTTATTTTTTTTCAGGAGAAACAATGGTTTGTCCACGGCGGCAATCCAAGATGCCTAGATATAGATCCTGGTCAGAAACGACTGTATGTTAGTCGGTGTGACTCTGCATCCAAAACACAAAAATGGAGGTTTGAAAACGTTAATTTAACTGCTATTGCTAATTGGGAAAACGTTGGTGTCTAAAGTATTAAATAAATGAATTAGGAAAGCATCAGAATTCCTTATTACACAGTTAAATTATTAATTCGTACGTTATGCGTACTTGTGTCTTAAGTTACTCGAAATATGACGATCTAACTGTAACTTTTCTTTCAAAGTCTTTGCTGTACTTTATTTTGCATATTTTATCAATTATTTCAGCTCATTTGATAACCTATTCAATTGATTAGAATTTCACATATTTTTTACTGTAAGACCTCTTACTGTAGGACGCTTCCTGAGTGGCACTATTTCCATCAGGCGACTGTGTCATGAAGATAGTTTAAACAGGAAGTGCATACGTTGCTTCTGTACACTTTCTTGATCATAGAGTCGCTCGATCCAAATATTGCCAGTCTGGAAACGTCTGTCAGGGTTCATATGATCTTACGTGTTGGTGATACTCATTCATTGATCCATACCAGAAGTTTTTAAGACACTAGAACACCGTAATACAAATGCATTTAGATTTTTCAATTGTATTCAACTAATCTTGGTTTAATATATGCAAATTTTATTAGTTGTTTTGTATTTTTTTTTGTTTACAGTTGGAATCAGTTTTTTTTAACTTAAATGAGACTATTCAAACCAGAATTGCATTACATATCTCTACATTTTATTATTTTTCTACAATGCTTTTGGTAAAATTTGCATCTTCTATTAAATTATAATATTTTCGAGTTAATGTTCCGCAGCTTGAAATATTTACAGTAGATGTTGACACAAGTTGTATCTGCATTTTAATAATGTTTGCATTTAGATTTGTTAATATTTTAATTTTTTTGATCAATTGAATATTTGAACTTTAAAAATTAAGGCAATAATCGAGCCCAAGTTTAATCAAATCTTGCCCAAGTACTTTCGCTTAATATAGCATCTTAAGGAGCATTTTGTCAAATATGGGCTATCCAGAAAGCGTAGAATGTGATAAACATGAATGTTAACATAAAATTGTACAAAACACTACACTAAAACAAGGACAAACAGTTTAAAATTAATTAAAAAGGTTCTACGCTCTACATTCTTTGTTAGTAGCAGGAGAGAGAATGCCTTAATTTTCAAAGTTCATTTATTCGAGCATTCAAACTCATATCAATTAATTGAATATTTGTTCATGTCAGTTTCTTTTTAACTATTTCCCTACTACATTCTCCCTTCCCCCGATTATTTTGATAAAACCTAAATTTTTGAGTAACTAAACAACGACACCTTTACATTATTTTTATGATATTTTAGTGACGCTATCACTTGAAAAAATTGTCGCTGTCCAGCTATTTTGCAAAATTATTTTAGATGATCATATTCCAAAAAGTACCTTATTTGGAAGTGTCACTCAGTATTTCCTTAGATTTTTTTATGACTCTTATGCTGATTCAACATGATGAACGTCCAATATTCGCTGACTGTGTCAAAAATATGTACAACACTTAATATGGTATTCTTAGAAAACACTAGAATAAATCAGTTTATTTTTTATTTGCATTTGAAAGCTTTTGTGATAACAAATTTGTTTTTTATCGCGCTGTCTCATAATGGTGATCATTGAATAGTGAGAATGATCCTAAACCGACTATATTAATACACAAGCTTTCATGCCATATGAGGAGGTAAAATGCAAACCAACTTAAGTCACAAGTAAGTAATTTTTCAGGGAGGGCAAAATACTTGTAGCTTTGCTCTGAAGCTTAGGGTAGCTAAAAATAGTTTAAAAAATTGATTTTGTTTTGACAATAAAACCTTTTTTATGAACTCAGTGGAAATATACAAACAGTAAATTTACTGTTTGTATTTTGAGAACGATTTCCGAAGTGGAAATTGAAACGTCAATAAACGTATTTTTATCTTTAATTGTGGCTTATTCCCAGTTAAATAGTAATTAATTAAGGCTGTTTGCTTGTTACCTCGTTATATATTGTCACTTAAGAAAAATATCGATGGCATTATCTTTTTGAAAGATGCTAATAAAAAAACTATTAAATTCTATCAGACGGTGAGAAGCTGGAAAACTAAATTGATATTTTCGAGCGTTTTTCATAAAATCCGAAGACAACCATATAGCACGACAGAATCGTATTAAACCTAGGATCATGTTTAGTAACACAAGAGTTTCAAATGGACTATTATAAAATTGTTTCTCAATATTGCACCCGTTTGCCATTTCGCATGATTACACCATGAAAATATCATAAAATCAATTGACAGGTGTCGTAATTCAGTTAATCAATAATTTATTAATGCAAGTATTATACTTCAGACAATAATTTCTACTCTAAACCCGATTTCATATCCGTAAGCATTTGATGTTTTTTGAATTTGCGACAGTCAAGTATCTACTGGAAAACCCTAAAACAACTACAGGCCACCAATAATGTCACATGCTACCCTATGTTTGGTACCAGTGAACGAATACTTATGCTTAGGCTTATTTTATTTAGCCCTTTTTTATTCCTGCCGTATTCTACACTTTTTAAACTGAAAAAAGGCCACAGTTTTAACTTTCGTAAAAGTTTAGGTATCACAATAAGCTATATGAGGCAGTATGTAGACAAAAATGTAATGTTTATACTGATTTTTCAACGCATACCGCAATCACTTCCAGATTTGCGCCTGGTGTAATTGATGCTACAATATTTCAGCAATCATATTTCTTACAGTCCATGGTGTTTCTTTATTATGTTTAACATACATGTAAATTTTTTGGCAATGATGGCCACTCTACTTTTCAAACCAGATATTGCGAAAGAGTTGTTTTGAGCTGAAACCATACAAATATTTTAGATTTTTCAGCCAAGATATTCGTATTATTTCTACATTTCTGCTCTCTGTTTTACCTTCGATTATGAATCGGAATTAAAATTTGAATTTAGGTTAGGTGAGGTTCAATATGAATGGGCGCTTAACCACACTTCTACACGACCTAGTAGATCTATTCAGCTTGAATTTTTCCCCACGCAGACTTTTCCTTTCATTGTCCTTTTAACTTCTTTTTCATTATATATTTTCATTCTGGTATTGTTTTTAAATATACTTAGCGCATCCACCATTGCCTCTTTTTAATCGCCGTTGCTCAAATTTACGCCAGGCTTAATTGATGTTACATAATTTGAGCAATTACATTTCGGACAATGGATGCTTTTTATTTATCATGTGAATTATACTTATAGGTATATTTTTAATTCTTACAAGCACCATTTTTTATTATATATATATATATATATATATATATATATATATATATATATATATATATACTCGTAGGCTCGTGCCTATGCTACTCTATTTTATAGTCGACTCCACATTTATATCACAATTGCGTCGACGGTGGATATGCTATTTCAAACAAATGCCACCTTTAGTCAAAAAATTGAAGCTTACACGAAAATGATATTTTAAACCAAAAACTGTTTTAGATACAGCACGAAAGATAATTTAATTTATTGTGAAATAATTGTAATTGTACTAATAAGTCTATATCTGAAGATTGTGTTTAAAAAGATGCCGATTTACCGGCAAATTCATTAAATTGCAATGAGCAATGTGTAATTTACTTATTTTTGAAATATAAGTTAAACGGGCGCTATACATATCTGGAGTTGATTTTTAAGTGATATATATTTTGACTTACATCAAATATCAGTAACTATAACGTTACATAATTTTATAATTCTTTATCATGACACAAAACATTCCAAAATACGAATGTGTGTCCTTATTTCTTACCAGTGTGGTTAATTTTAAAAATTCGGCCAATGTACTTAATTATTGTTCTGTTAATTGATATATTATTGGTGTATATTATTTTTCTGTGTGTATGTGTTCAAGTGATAATGCTTAATATATTTCATATTCGGACATATTCAATAAGGTGTCCAAAAAAATGTTGTTACAGATATTGAAAAATAGAAATCGATAATGTATGTTATCAGTTAAATAGAGAATGGCTATTTAAATTTATCATATATATCATAAAATATGATATAAAAATGAATGCAAATGTACATAGACCTTTATTGTATTACTCCATTTTCGCTTTGTACCGTAGATAACTTATTTTAGACTAACAACTGATCGCATTATATTTAAACCCAGTGATACAGTAACTGTAAGCTAAAAAGAACTAAAGCTGCACTTCAGTAATTCCGAATGATGCCGAGAAGCAGTGGATGGGTAATATTTATAGCAAAGTGTTTGCCGTGTTCGCTATTAATACTAATACTATTTGGATTGGAGTAGTACGAGGATTGATCTGCACTGGTTGTTCTTAGCTGGCGCTTACAGTAAGCCCAGATAAGTTTTTGACATGTATAAGATGAAAAGGGTAACCAAATTGAAATGGAAGCTAGACTCTAAAAATAAACTGACGTTCACCAACCAGATGAACCTATAAATAATAGCTGAGAATTGGTTTTAATTTATATTTTGATATTCCAATAAAATTGTTCTTTGAATAGCTTTTAGAAAGCATCAAATAGCTTAACAAAATGCGGCGATCGTCGTGGACAACCGAAGCTTTTCTTATCTTCCCTTGATCACCATTCCAATAATCTCTTTGTTCATCGGTAATCTGTCATTCTAGCTATGTGTCCTGCCCATCTTCACTTTAGTTTGGCTATTCTTTCGATGATGTCGGTCACCTTGGTTCTTCTCTCTGGAGGAGATCATAAAAGTAATAGCAACAAATTAATGATAAGTAGTTCAGAATAGAAAAATTTAAAGATATTGGAGAGTATGTAGATTCAACAAAGGAATCACTCTTTTGACGTTACAGTCCTCATAGTTGACATAGAAAATGTTTTTCAGCACCATTCTGTTCAGTTTTCATCGAATTTTAGCCTGCTATGATTTTTTTTTCCACGGAACATGTTTCAAACAAATTAATATTGCCTTTCCCATACTATACGAGGGTGAAATAACGTTAACTTAGACCAAATAAGAAGAGATGATTTTTATTATTTTTCTGAATACGAGATGCTTTTCGAATTTTT